GCCTTGAAAAAGTCGTAGCGCTACCGGTTGTTATCAACAACAAAGTCTTCCGCCTTAAAGCTCCGCCTATGCTGGTTGATTGACACCTCATTTGCATTTGATTTATCATTTGCGATGTCAGTTTGAGCATTTGATTCACCATTTGCGGAGTCTTTTAAGGATTTGATTCACCATTTGCAGAGTTGTTTGAGCATTTGATTCACCATTTGCGATGTCGGTTTAAGGATTTGATTTATAGTTTGAGCATTTGATTCACCATTTGCGATGTAAGTTTGAGGATTTGATTTATCATTTGAGGAGGCGGTTTGAGGATTTGATTCACCATTTGCAAAGTCCGTTTGAGCATTTGATTTATCATTTGCAGAGTCGGTTTGAGGATTTGATTTATCATTTGCAGAGTCGGTTTGAGCATTTGATTTATAGTTTGAGCATTTGATTTATCATTTGATCTTTTAAGCATTTGAATTTTCATTTTAATTTTCTTAGGAAAAAACTTCCATACATAATAGTTTTAATAAATCATCTCTAATAACTGATTTATTTTATCTTTGCCATGATGACTGTAAATAATATTTTACTACATCCTATTCAAGACATAATAAGACTTTCTCCAGAAGAAAAAAAAATCAGATATACTGAAATTATATATTTATTGACTACACTCCAAAAGAAAATGCTTATTCAATATTGTAATAATATTTCACAATTTTTATTGTATTTTAATTAAGTAAAAGCAGTCTCGCAGAGCAGAATAGTTAATTTTATTGCTCATTAATTCTAAGCATTTGACCGATGTGTATGCGTTTATCTTAAAAGGTCAGCGGTTTGCTTCATGTTGACAGTCTGGAGCCGGTATTATTATTCCGCTCTCTCTCTTTACGCTTCACAAAATACACTCCATCAAACCTAACTTTCAGAAACGGGTAACAGCACCAGATGGTGAGTCTGACAAATGCAAAAAAATGCCACATATTAAGAAAATTTCCGCTGTTTACAGCACTGACAGACACTGTTTATCATAGTAAACAGCTGTCAGAAAGGCCACATTCTCAGTAGCCAGCACACACGTGGCAGATGATCAAGTTTGGTGGGCTGCGACAGATGCATCGATGAAGATGGCAGGAACGCTGTGGAGTAATGTGTCCTGATTTGAAAGAAAGCCCTCAATGGGAGAGTTCAGATGGAAATGAATGATTGTACAAACACAAAAAAACAAAACAGATATTTTCGGATCTAAAGTAAAATAATATCTATATTCAATGTGGTCCAAAAAACTGCTTAAAAGATTCAAAATCTAATTGTAAGCTGATCAAAAAACAGTAAAACAATAGCTTACTAACAAAACCTACTTTAATACACACACACACACACATATATATATATATATATATATATATATATATATATATATATATATATATATATATATATACAGCAAAAAAAAAGCAATACATTGTTTCCTTCTAGGAGAAAAATATAGTCAACTAGTGCAAAACAACAAAATATTGGACCCCACTGACTTTTATTGTACAGACAAAACAAAATATTGGACCCCATTGACTTTTCATCATACAGACAAAACATAACTAATTATTGGACCTCATTGACTTTTTATTGCATACACAAAACAAAACTCCAGACCCCATCATTTTTTTTTCTTTTGCATAGACAAGACAAAATAAAATACTGGACCCCACTGACTTTTATTGTACGAAAAAAGAAAACAAAACTAAATATTGGGCCCCATTGACACACAAAACAAAATAAAATGTTGGACTCGATTGCTTTTTATTATACAGCCAAAACAACAACATTCTGGACCCCATTGACTTTCATTGTATAGACCAAAAATAAATAAATATTGCACCCTATTTACTTTTACTGTACAAACAAAACAAAACATTGGGCCCCATTGACTTTTAATTGTACAGACAAAACTAAACAAAATATTGTAACCCCTTTGACTTTTTATGCATAAATCAAACTAAACAAATTACTGGACCCCATTAACTTTCACTTTACAGACAAAACAACATCAAAATATTGGACCCCACTGTCTTTTCATCATACAAACATAAAATTTATATATATATGTATATACTGAATTGAACCCCATTGACTTTCATTGTACAGACAAACCAAAACTAAATCTTCGACCCCATTGACTTTCATTGCACATACAAAACACCAGACCCCATCGACTTTTATTGTACAGACAAAACAAAACTTTTCATTGCATAGACAAAATAAATAAAATGCTCGACCCCATTGACTTTCATTGTACAAAAAAAACAAAAACAAAAAACTAAACACTTGACCCCATTGACTTTCATTGCACATACAAAACAAAACACCATACCCCATCGACTTTTATTGTACAGACAAAACAAAACATAATACTAGACCCCATCGACTTTTCATGGCATAGACAAAATAAATAAAATGCTCGACCCCATTGACTTTCATTGTACAAAAAAAACAAAAACAAAAAACTAAACACTGGACCCCATTGACTTTCATTGTACATACAAAACAAAACTAAATATTGGACCCCATTGATTTCTCATCATACAGACAAGACAAAACAAAACATTGAACCCCATCGGTGTTCATTGTATAGAAAAAAAATTAAAATAAAAAAATTACTGAACCCCAATGACTTTTATTGTACAAACAAAATTAAATATTGGACCCCATTGACTTTCATTGTCTTGACAAATCTAAAAATATTGGACCCCATTAAGTTTCATTGTACAAACAAAATAAAACTAAATATTGGACCCCATTATCTTTTTATTGCATATACAAAACAAATAAACTGGACCCATTGAGTTTTATTGTACAGACAACACAACAACAACAACAGAGTATTGGATCCCGTTGTCTTTTTCATACAGACAAAAGAAAACAAAATATTGGACTCCAGTGATGTTCGTTGTAAAGACAAAGTACAAAACAAACAAAATTGGACCCCATGGACTTTTATTGTACAGACAAAGAAAAAAATATTGAGCCCCATTGACATTAATTTTATAGACAAAACAAAACTAAATATTGGACCCCATTGACAATTCATTGCATAGACAAAACAAATAAACTGGACCCATTGACTTTTATTGTACAGACAAAACAAAACTAAACATTGGACCCCATTGACTTTTCATTGCTCTAGGCATTTCTGTTTGGAGTTTGCATGTTTTCCCTGTGTTGGCGTGCGGGTGTATATGGGTGTTTCCCTGTACAGGGTTGCAGCTGGAAGGGCATCTGCTGTGTAAAACATATGCTGAAGTAGTTGGGGGTTCATTCCACTGTGGCGACTCTTGATGATTAAAGGGACTAAACCGAAGGAAAATAAATGTCCAAACCAACAAACACTGGAGGTCACTCACTTTCACTATACAGACAACCCCAAACAATCCATTAAACACAACAAAAGTAACCTGATTTCTACTGAAAGAAAGATTCAAAACACTCTAGAGAACTTATTGTAAATCCACTATTGCCTCAAACGAAACCTTAAAAGAGTCCCATACAATGGCCCACATTATAACCCCCGACCACCCCTTCCCCAAACGTGAGGAAATAGTTTATAAAGTAATGACATTTTTCATTTGCTACATCGTTTCGTCTGTAATGCCTTCAGTGAGTTCTGGGTCTGGTTTTGCGTGCCAACAGAAACGCCGCAGGCTTACCTGACACCATTACAGAGCTTGCCGTCTCACACCAGCCTGTAATCGGACGCCGCGTCTTCGCTAGATTACCTTGTTTTTACTGGAGGACATATCTGGCCATCTGGATTAATTCCACATTCGTGTGAATTC